GAAGACCCCGACACAGAACAATGATTAGAAGAATGAAAAGATGACTGCTCTTCTGACAAAGGAGGAAGAACATGTTTTGGTTGATTGGTTGGAGAACAATCCTATCATATTAGTACAAGAACAAGAAGCTCCAAACTTACAAAGATGCTATAAGAAAGGAGGCTATTTGGCGGGAGAATGCCAGGGAGTTAGGCAAGGATGTTGTGGTACTAAAAAAATGGTAAACAAGTCTGCGAACGGGATATAGTAGTCTGAAGAAGCTCTGCTCTTGACAAGGGCCACCTGAACAGATAGAACGCAACGCCTGGGTACTGAGATGTTTTGAATTCCTGGAAAACCCACGTTGTTTAAGTCCAGAAGAGGACATTAGTCAGTGTAAGTATCCTTTTTTTATCTGTACATGCGTATATTTAGTTTCCTTAAATATTTTTTTATATATTGAGACTTATGAAATTTTCATTTTATACGCTTTCAGATGAAGGAAAAGCTCAGTGAGGATGCCAACCCCAGTAATGAGGGTGCTTATACTCCAGTTTCTGAAGATGACGATGACCCTCCTTCCGTACGTTCTGAGCAAAGTCAACGCTGTTCTTTGACCTTTCTAAGCAGCATCTTCAGCACAAGACCATCTAGTACTGCTAGTTTTTCACTTGATAAAAGATCTGCAGCCGCAGATGACGAGACCCTGGACCATGAATGAATGCTGTCAGCAGTTTTTGACTATGAAGAAGCAGCTCCTTGATTATATCAGACCAGAAGGTGACAGGGAGCGGGATTCATTTGCAGAGTGGCTTAGATACCGATTTATAGTTGACAATGAAGCTATCAGGACAAGAACAAGCTTATTTGTCAGTCTTCTGCCGGTACATTCTGTCAGCCTGGAAACTTCAGCTATATCGGTTCGTCTGGGATCTTTCCAACCTTAGCCGAAACAACAATGGCAGCCTGCACCTCAGTATTGGTCCTACTTCTGATCAGAATCCGACTGCGGTCTGGGGCTCGATGGATTCTTCTTGGGTCCAACAGCAGTTTCCAAGTATTTAGTCCACCTGCCAACCCAGAAGCCAGCCAAGTGAACAGCCGATCCAGTTGTCTGCCACGTCTAATCAGCTTCAGCAGAAAGTAAAATAACAAAAATACCGAACTCCCAAGGAAAATTCAAATCGGAAAGTCTCTTATCAAATGGCAAAATCAAAAGCTCACACACTTCAAACGAATGGAAAACAACTGTCATATTACTGACTTGGTACAGGCATTTCCTTATGTAGAAAACACAATACCGCCGACCACCCAGATAAGCAGCACCTAGATTAACCTAGCAGTTGCATTTCTCAAATATTCTCAGGGACATCCAAGAGTTAGCTAAACAAGATTCCAGTCCATCAGCAGTATTTCAGCGCCCAACATCTACGGGGAGTATTCAGAGCTCAATCTCATAACATAATTAACTGTGGTTTGAATATGTTCAAATGTTGTGTTTTTAAATTAACAGTGAAGTTACTGCATTGACATTGATTTAGATGAGCAGTGACTGTGTTGACTTTGATTTACTGTGAGTTTGTTCACTTTCGGTATGATTGTGAATGATAAAAAGCTTTTGATTTTTTCATCTGTTCTATTCATTTATGATTTAAACTTCACGTTGTGTCGAACATTTCATTCAAATCAAATCTAATTTGGACACATTAAATTCTACTTCTAAAAGGGAGGCAAAAGATACAAAAGGGACTATCAAACTCTAAGGTCGAAAACTAACCAACAATGCCAGGGCATAACACAACATAGAAAACTTAAGACTGAACAACAAAACCCAATTAAAACAGGGGTGGTGCACAGAAGGGTTAGCAAATCCTGCTCCACATGTGGCATCCGTCGTATTGGTCAATATATGCATTAATTCGTTGGCAAGTCTTGTTTGGTGGTATCAGATTCAAGATGTGAGCAGTAAATTTTGTAAATAAGAAAATCACAAACGGTTCAAATTCTTACACTGCACAAAATACGCGTTTCGACTTACAATGTCATTTAATCGACACTCAAAGCAAAAACATGCTAAAGCATGTATAATACGGAATATATTGTAAAACATCAATATTTCCAAGGTAGATATAAAACAAAAGCAGATGGTAAAATAACCAAAAAAAAACATATAAAATGTTAAATGAAGAAATGGACAAGATAAAGGCGATCGATTTACAATATCTGGAGTGAGATCAAATTTGTTTACATCAAAACCTTTTGTTTTCCAGATTTATTCATTATCATATAAAAATAAGAAGATGTGGTATGATTGCCAATGAGTCACTCTCCACAAGAGACCAAATGTATGACTAGTATTACTTTAATATAGCCAGATTAACAATTACATCATTAATATCTCAAAATTTATTCAAGAGTACTATGTCAAATTATCAGTTTGAATAGCGCTTCTAAGTCCGAACTCAACATTTCAAGTATAGAGAACACGTCAAAAGCTTCCATTCTGATCAAATCATCCTTTCTTGCCATGATAATGACCGAACAGGACTGTTAAAATACAATTTCAAGTACTCCCTCTGTCTCTTGCCTGAGTTAGTGTCACGGTTGGGTCCCGATAATGTATCCATGTCGTGCATGTTAGCCTGACTCCTCCATGCTCCAGGTATCAGTTTGTGCTGATCGTCTCCTCGTTCAAGAACTGCATTTTGCTGAGCTGGAAACCGTGTTCGCATAAGATTATGTAGACACACACAAGATTCAATTACATCTCGTACATTATCAGGTCCAATCTGCAAAGTTTTCAGCAGAACTTGAAACCTATGGGCTAAAATGCCGAAAGCATTCTCAACTACACGTCGACCCCTTGAAATTCTGTAGTAATAGATGCGTTGTTCTTTTGTTAAGCCTCTCTGTGAATAAGGTTTTATGATTAAAAGTAAAATATCTAAAATACTGAACTCCAAGGAAAATTCAAAACGGAAAGTCCCTTAGCAAATGGCAATATCATAAGCTCAAACACATCTAATGAATGGAAAAAAATTGTCATATTCCTGATTTGGTACAGGCATTTCCTTAGTAGAAAATGATGGAGCTAGCTAAAACTCTCACTTGTATGACAGTCGCATAGTTAAACATGCGCAGACCAACATCATCATCCCCAAGAAGAAAGTAAGGCATATCGCTGTCATCAAAGGTCAGAGGCTCTGGTTCTGAAAATACAATACTGCCATCTTGATAACAATCCTTCAATTCAGACTCATTAAATATCTGACAGTCCAGTCCTACATGGAGCCAAATACCGATGTCTACCCACAAAAACTTGTACTGTGTGTCCACAAGTGCCATCCAGACGACAGAGAAGAAGTCTTTATACTTGTAATAAAGACTGCTAGAGTTTTGTTGGCACCTAATGGCAGCATCTTTGTCGTCGAAAGCGCTACAGGCATGTGTTCTTGAATTCCTCAGCTATGGGTCTCCACTCCTCAGGAGTTGTGTGGCACAGAATGACCTCGTTCTTGTAAACCTCTCTGAAAGCACGATAGACCTTAGACACGAGAATGCTGGTGGTGTTAAGGGCTATTCTAAACTGATACTGAAGAGTTGGATATTTATTTCCGGTTGACAGGAATTGCAGCGTAATAGTCAATCTAAGGCCGGGTTCCAAGGCTGTCCTACAGTTATTGTGTACCTCCCTGATTCATGGACCAACTCTGCAACAACTCACTAAACAAAACGGGTTCAATTTTCACATTCTCCTATTCTTTCTCCTCCTCAGCAGGGCCATTGCCATCTTGAAGGATCCCTTGTTGACCTTGCAATAGGGCAAGGTGAAGTACAGCTTGATAGTATATTTTACACATACTTCCTCCTCAAAAGCAATATGAAAAAGAGAGCGGAAGCCCACAAACTTCCCATATATATAGTAAACGTCTGCCGATCATGAGTCCTGTTAATAACGTAGCGCGGACGTGATACTCGTGGTAGCAGCGTATTTCTAGCGTGATCCGATCATCTAGCTCGTAGCAGCATCCATACGAAATCGTAACAATATCGGACTCGCAGCGTAGTTTGTCGTTGTATGATCGAAGTGGGAACTTGTCGTTGACGTAAAGAGTGTGGTGTAGGCGCAGGTAGACGGCGTGGTAACGCAAAGAAACATCAAGAAAAGCTATAGTGGGTGTAATAGAAGAGTAGCAGTGTTGTGTTAGCCTTTACACAGACAGTTTTCCAAATTTTTCGTGATCCTGCTTCAACTGTCCAGATCGTGGAGATCGTAGAGATCGTAGAAGAGTTTCCATCCAGTGTGAAGGGGCCTTAAACAATATGAAAAAAGTTAAACCACATCAAACATTACGTAATAAACTTTTTAAGGTGCCTGTCAGTTCTTGGTCGAACAACGTTACGTGTTGTTATGAGTTTAAGATATTTTTCAGTTTTGTTCTTGTAGTACATTCAGTACTGTTCAGATATTTTGCTTGCAGTCAATCCAGTACTGTTCAATACTTTTCCAGACAATTCAATACGTTGTTGTTTTGTATAGATAAATTATACCTACTAATTAGTCTGGACAAAGACTGACCAGATCTTAATTAACTGCAAGCGAATAGTCTGTACAGTACTGAAGTCACTGCTGTAGATAAGTCTTAAAATGAACTGATGAACTGAAAGAATGACTTAATAGTTTATTGTTCAATCTATCAAGAGCTGATCAGATGACAATGACCGTTTCAGTTCAAAAATGGATAACTAGTGAACGGTATCATGTTTATTTGTGTTTTACGAGTTACTATGTACGTTTCGCCTTTACCCTCAACACGACAAGACGTTTTAAAACAAAATATAAAAATTATAACTACATTTGTTATCCTATCTTGTATTATGCAGTCATTCCGCTAGTAAATTTATATATATATGACAGCACTCAAATCGTGTTTTCGTCATAAATGTAGTTGTTGTCGTTAATGTTTCAACAGCTTGAGTTCAGATTCCAATGAAGGTATGATAAAGCTTTGTATATTTACCTTGATCACAACGATTTCCATTGAAACCTGCTTTACAAGATGTGCATGACCCATCCCAAATATTGCATGTAACATCGTTGCAATTGGGCGAACAGGGAAATTGGCACTGTGGTCCATATCGTCCTATGTAACAACCTACGGAAAAGAGAAGGGATTAAAACATTATGTTGTGAATCATAACTGTGTACTCATTGCATACCTTTTTGTTCAAAAGCAGTCCGGAAACTGCTCAGTTTGTTAGGATTTACTTTTTCATTATTCACATAATGGTACATATACGAGATTTGCATGATTATATTATAATTATTCACTCAATTTATATATAATAAAAACTATAACACAAGTTTCCATACGTTTAGGCCATTACGGCCTTCTTCTTTGGAATTAAATTACAACACTTAAACAACAATTACATTGCATGGATACATTACGTTACAATAACTTCTATGACGTTCATTTGCCGCGCTTTTTCTTTTTTCATATATTTTTTTACTATCGTTTGAACATAGTGTTTAGTCCGTCAGGCTCTAGGAAGAAAAAAAGAAGTCACCAGTATCCTTTAACTTTACTTTCAACTATACAGATGATATTCTCTCACTGTATAATTCAAACTTTCACCCCCAGTTTTTGGTGGGGTACGTGTTGTTCAGTCTTTAGTTTTCTATGTTGTGTTTTGTGTACTGTTGTTTGTCTGTTTGTCTTTTTCTTTTTTAGCCATGGCGTTGTCAGTTTATTTTCGACTTATGAGTTTGAATGTTCCGTTGGGTATCTTTCTCCTCTCTTTTCCTTCTCTAAAGTTTTTAAATTTTTAATCCAAAAGGCTTCTTTAGTTTTTCGGTAAATTTCTGTGCCAAATACTCTTTCTATTTCAGTGACTTTTAGATTTTTCATCGGATGGTTACGTTGAATGAAGTGGTTTGCTACTGGATCGTCTGCTTTGTTTGTTCTTATTTTTGAAAAGTTCAATAACATCCTTTCATATAGTGTATCGCCTGTTTGTCCTACATATATACGTTTTTCGCATTTTGTACAGCTTATTGCATACAGTTTTACAGTCTATTTGTCCCTGAATGGTATAATTCTTTTCCGATGTTATCACATAATACTTTGGTCTCATTAATGTGTGAACATAATGCGCAATTTTTCCCGCATGGTCCACAGCTATTACTCTGATTGTAAAATAACAAATTATGTTTCTTGTGCACTAAGATGTCTTATATGTTGTTGTCGCGTTTGAAGGTTGCATGAATACGGATTCAAATGAGTGTGATGTTTGTGTAGCTTATTTTGAACCAAACTGACAGCTAAAAGCGAAATACTATCGGCTTTTATAAATGTTTGAAACAAAAAAAAACTCTTTTCATTATTTTTGTCTTAATCGTTGTTATTGGCCTTTAAAATGTATGAGAACCGTGAAAAACCCATCAGAGATATAAAATATTGCACTAGTCAGATCACAAATAAGAAAATACAAATAAAATAGGTGATTTTCAAATGTTTCGACAATCTTACCAAAGACTTCTACTTCACAAAGTTCTACGAAAGCCTTTCCAGTATCTCTTCTATTGTAGAAAACTACATATCTACCAGTTAATTCACAAGTATTATTCTGTATGGTATTTGGATTTGGATTTCTCATTGGGTAGTGATAGCATAGTTGTCCATCATCAGGGTTCATTTTACTAAATGAATTCGATATGTATAGATAATATCCCTTGAGTCTACGACTTTCTGAAATGTATTATTTACATTAATCTCTGTAATCATTTGGTTTTCGTTTTAAGAGTTAAAAAATATTTAAGGATCCCAGTAATATCCGTAAGATATATTCAAAGCCTTAGCCAGAATTTGACTGTCCTGTGACGTATGCATAGAATGAAACGCTCACCCTGTTGACGAACCGGTTTCTATTCTTCTGGAGTTCATGTGAATCCCTCAGTTTTTGTTTGTTACCTTGATTTGTCTTCTTAATCGATTTATGAGATTTTAACATCGGTAAAGTATGTTTGCAAGTGCTCAACCCTCCCCTACATAGAACGAAGTATAAGAATTAATAGCAATAAGACTAAAGACATCATACCTTTTGCAGTACTCGCAGTTATTGAAAGCTAAATCAAAGCCAATTACGACTCATAGATAAAACATGTTTCCCTGACTAAAATATCGATCTGGACACATTCAAAAGATTTAATGTGAATATTTCATATTTAGTATGAGAGATGATAGGATTATAATTGTTTATAATTGTTGAGCAACACATGTTTAGTTATGTTCTAATATTTTTTAAACAAAATCAATGTTGTTTATGATTGATGGTACCAAAAAATGCAATATTCAAAGATTAAACTTCATGGTTGAACTTATAACCTTCAAGAATAAGTTTATTTAAAGGATTAATAGGCTCAAATAGAAGGTATACAAATGTAAGGCCTCTATTAACACCGATACAATTAAAATGTGATATTCCGTTTATAATAAGGTTTCTGCAAGTACAGCTAAAGTATTTGTAGTACACATTATTCTATTTTAGTTAGATACGGCGTCCGTTTTTGCAGTTATAAATCAAAATGCCTTCATCAGCGACATATAGAGCCGAATTGCAATTTTCCTATTTTGTATCAAAAAGCCTTCATCAGAAATATGTAAAGCTGAAACACATTTTTGGTTTTACGGAAATATGTTAAAACCGTTAAAAAATGATTTAGGTTTATGTTAAAATTCTGTTTAATCTGTTTAATATTTAATACGGACGCACATTTATAATATTAATTGATGACATTAATATTCATTTATTATTTCAAAAATTATGTTTACTATAATGTATCAATACATTAGCTGTCAAATTAATTTTCACTGATTTAACTTAAGGATGTACTCAGGTCAGGTTTAATAATTTTTGTCAGATGTTCAGACTCCTTGGGTTTTTTCCTACAATACAGGGTAAAATATTTTGCCCCGTATTACCCACTTTTCTTTTCATAGAAGACTTCAATAGCTCATAAAAAGACCATTACCAAAATTTAAGTAGATTCTATATTTTTCTCTTACGATTTGAGACCCAAATAATGCCAATGCTAAATATAAGGTAAAAGTCCGAGTCAGCCTTTTACCGCCAGTTTTTAATAATCAAATATCTCAAAAAGGAGTTCCATAACCTATCTATATTTTTAGCTTATTATGTTCCTTAACTTCTTCTGACTTATAGTATTCTAAATTCTAGTTTTTTTTAATTTCACCTAACTACATCCTTAAATGCTTGTATTTGATTTATAACATTCTAAAAAGTATATCAAAATTACAAACAGTCCAGAAGAAACAATTTACAATGCATGGACTCGCTTTAATGTATCAGCATTAAGTGCATAATTTAGACTAGACACCATCTTATTATCCATCGAGATGACATCCGATCAGTCAGCGAAATGGTTTTTCCTGGTGCATCACTTTTCAATGTTGCCATTCTTTTCAATGTATGAATGAACAGGCTGACCACATGCTGTCCGAACACATGCGCAACAATCTCAGTTAAACGTCAAATAAAGTTTGCATGAATACGGATTTAAAGGAGTTGAATTAATGACTTGCAAGCCAATTATACATCAAATTTGTGTTTTAGCTTATTTTAACGAAATTGAACCAACTGACTGCTGATAGTTAAATATATTTCTATATTGTGGACATTATCAATTCTGATATACTTATGGGTATTTTCTCAATAATTCATAATATGTAATTTAATCTCTATCAAAAGTGCAATAATTTATGTTAGTAATTCTGACTTTATAGCAAATAAGACATCCTGAAATCCAAGCGATAAAAGAAAAACAAAGGATATTGGGTATCCATTCATGACACTAAATCATTGCATGCACAGAAAAAAAAAAGCAAAGGAACAGTGCTCTCATTGCTGTTCTTCATCTCAAAGTCACAGTGATGCCATCAACATGGAGCAAAAAAACTCTCACCTCACTCTAAGTTTAAGACGGTCCCTAAGTTTGTGCAAGCGTAAGGTTTTGTTTTTTTTTGCGGTTGTAAAACGTGTTTTAAAACGAAAAATTAGTCCGTAAATTCTTGTGGAAAGCATAACTACAGATTCCTTCAAGGTCATCCTTGTAATAAAACGATTACTAATAAAGACAAAAAAAGACAAAAAGGTGACAAAATGATGATCACCGATTTGACTTTAATTCCCATATTTGATTTTAAACATACTAAAACGTAAATCAAAATTACAAAAAGTCCAAAAAGAAACTTTTAATAATGAACGAACTCGTTTTAATGTATCAGCATTTCATGCGTATTTCAGACTATACGCCATCTTATTAATCATCGAGATGACCAACGAAGACTGCTGAAGGTCTTACGAACTAGAAAATAAACGTTAATAGACAGACAGACACGCACGTGCTATTGTGTTATGACTATTTTTCAATATTCCTCTTTTATAGATGTTAGAAACAAAATCTTATTTTATTTTTTAGTCTTAATTGTAGCTGTTAAGCATTTCCGTAGACACGGTAACTTATAGGTGTACTCATAAATATACGGTATGTGTAGACATTAATGGGACTACTCTTTTTTTAATCGAGACAGCTACAATTATTTCAAATTAGAATTTTTAAACTTACGGCTTTTTCTATAATACAAAACAACTGTATGTATGTATGCTGAATAACCAAGATCCAGTCTCCACCATGCTGATGACGGACCTACAGCAGTATGACAACAGCTTCCCACATTAAACGATTGATTTCTATTTCCATCAATTACTTTCGATGCACCATAAATATTTTTAGGATCCCGATAAACACTACTTTGAATCGCTGTACCATTGGCGGCCATATTAGCTACAAAAACAATTTATTAAAACCTAATTCGAAAATTTGATTCATCTCGGCCTGATTACAAATGAAATAAGTAGTATTCAGTGTTTTTTTTCAAATTTTATTCAGTTTTGCAATGCCAACGTCAAATAGTTTGTCAATATAACGATTGTAAACAACAAGCCTTTGTCTAATATAGTACATTAGTCATGGCAACCATTTATTATATTTCGGATTGATTAGATTAATGCGAAACCATAGTGCTAGTGTTTCGTTGATAATTGATGATCTTCGCTAGATATTTGGAACTATACATTTCATATAAGTTTGCAATTTAAGAAACTGAATAGTCAACCATATTTTTCATATCACTGAACTATTTTGATTGATTGGTGTTTAACGCCACTTTCAGCACTATTGTGCTATTTCGTGGCAGTCAGTTTTTCTTGGTGGGGAAAGCAGGAGTACCCCGAGAGAACCACCAACCTTCGGTAAGAAAACTAACAATCCTAGCAAATCAAGATGTGAGTCGAGGGTACCTGCAACATGCAGGATTCGAACTCACAACCTCAGTGTTGACAGGCTAGTGATATAGTAATTCGACTACTTAGACCACTGGGCCATCGAGGTCCCTAGACCTTTTTGAAGTATAAACAGCGTATGTGTTCAAATAGTACTTACGAAAAGCAATACTACGACTCAAACATACAATTTGTACTATAAAGATAGCTTTGAAGTACATCTTTAGCTGTTCCTGTAAATAATTTGAAAAAATAGATCGTTAATGATTATAGAATAACTATCTAAGAATTCACACATAGAACAATATTCATCGAGTGATCGAACAACATGTCAATTTACGATTGCGCGCACGAGCTATTTATGAGTGTTGGTCGGAAAGTTGGAAATTACGATTTCTCATTGCAACCAATGTGACAAATTGATTAATTAAACGTTTAACGCTTTTAAATATCCTGCAAATCATATCTTCAATCGTACAAACGCAGAAGTTATTCGCCAATATGACGAGGATATTGACGAATGAACATGCGATGAAATAATTTAAGATTTCTAACGAAACGGGGTTGCTTATTGTAATGATTGACTTGACATATCCAGAATATCCATGCAGCGACATAACTGAAAATGTGCAATTGAAAGAATCGAAATAAATTTTTGAATTGTCCGACGGGTAGGAAGATAATATATATGGCTAGAGCTAAGAATTGGTCCCTGTACTGGTTTAATACTAATTTAATTTATTAGGTTTTTATTATGATGATTTCTTTCCGATAGTTCCACATTTTAAAATTACTGGTAGTAAGGTAATTAAAATATGTGCATGGGACAAGCGGGAAGATGTTTATTTGACAATTGGGAAGTTTAAATGATAGACAATCTCTGTTCAAAGTTTTTCCGAAGTTTGATTTTTTGACATTTTCATTTGAGTAAATCTTCATTTTTATTCGTTATTTGATTAACAAGTAAATTGTAACAAGGTCAGAATTTAAAATGGTTGTCAGATCGACAGGTTAGAGGTAAGGGGTAAAAGACGTGTTAGCCATGCAAGGCGATCATTTTGTTCTTGTGAGTCCACCTCAACTCTGCATAGAGACAAGCCGACCAGAAAATAAATAATCATACTGCATGCACTATTCCTTATGTGCCCAACTACCTACGAAGTGATTAAAATACCAGAGTGCATGCTTATTTTTCTAACTGCCTACCTGCTGACCAGCCGACTAGATTACCATACAAAGACTGAAACTAAATTGCCATACTAAAATAAAGTTGAATGTGTTGGCCAAAATTCAATACGGAAACAGAACAATTATACGAAGAACGTAT